ATATATATATATTCAGCATGGTCATGTTTGTTCAATGGAATTCTTCATTAGTGATGTGTAGAGTATTGATGTTACAATTGGTAGGTCATTTCATTTATATACCTTTTTCTTATATACACAATATACCTTTTGGATGGAATTTTCTGAAAAAAAAATAGTTCTAAACAAAAAATTCTATTTTCAAGACATATGAAACTGTTCCAAAGTATGGACATAAACTGTAATAAAATATGGTATTTCCATATACCTCAATGCTTTGCTCTAACTAGAAAATTATTTATACTGGATAGAAAGGAACTGTAGGTAGCACCAAAATTAGGCTTTTACTAATTTATTCTGCATTATGACCTTGGAATATTTAGAGATATAGATTTTGAAGTACATCTTAAAAAATGTATCTATCAAATTTTATTTTACCAACAACCAAAATTTCCACAGGTGTTTGAACTAGATCAACTCAGTTTAGTTTACAATAATTAGTCTTTTAAAACACCCACATATTACTCTTATTTCCTAACTTTGACCCTCTCATTTATAAACATTTTAAGTAAAGATCAATATTGTGCAATCTGTGATATTTAAATGGTAACTCTTTTTGTTTTTTGGCAGATATAACACATTACCTCATTGTTATTCACACCCAGAGGACACAAGGGCAGCACTGTAGCTCTGCCAAGGGCTGCCAAACACCCATCTCTGGACATATATTATGTCACAGAACTTTTGGTAATACACAGAGCAATACTATATCAGAGACATCTCCTAAACAGATGGGGTAGATAATTATAATTTTGGTGAGTGATATCTGATCAGCAAAAGGTATACTAAGCAAGTACAGGCAGCAATGCCAATTCTTGCCTGAAACCAAAATCCTAAATTATCTAAACAACACAATAAAAATATTCACTATACTTTGATACCTAATACATAGTAGCTTGAAAAATACAGTATTATAGTGAACAGAATGATGAAATCTAAATCATCTGGTCACACTGGGTTTTATGATTGATTGTCATGTACTTTTAGATGAGAAATAAAAATATGAAAATAGACGGGAAGAGTCATATGAATCATGATGGATGATTTAATTACTTTAAAACCAGTAATGGTTCTCAGAGAATATGTGATCATTAGAGATGATCATTAAGTTTATTTGAATATTATCTTACTAGTACTTTAAAATAATATAGTGATCAGATACAGTTCACTAGGCATTGCTTATATAAGCACAAATATTTTCTGAAAGTTAACTAAGTGATTGTTCATTGTATCATGCAATAAATGCTTCTCCTTAGATAATATTTTCATACACAAAATATTGAGAAATATTTTGATTGTGTTTTTTTAATATGTAAGTTTTGGTGGTTTTCTCCCCCTTATAAACCAAAAGTACCATTATTTAAAAATAAGTGTGTTTTTAATGTCTTCTTGTGTATAAATTATATTTAGTTTTTTATTTTATCATCATTATGTTTAACATTATAATGTTTCTTTTATAAACTTTATTTCTTAATTGATTAATACTATAAAATTAAATTGGGAAAATGTGTCATTAATTCTATAACTAAGATTTACATTTCTCAGAAGATTTATATTTCCTTTTTAAATTTGACTAAATTATTTTTCATATAGCGCATATTCAAACCTATCTAAATTCACTGGAAAAAGTTTGTTAAAAATAGCGTATTAGGCCCTCCCTGGTGGCGCAGCGGGTTAAAGTACAGCACTGAGAAGCTAAAGCAATTTCCGCATGAGTTCGATTCCCACCTGCTCTGGAGGTGACCACATGGCGTGGCAGACCTCTGCTGACCTACCCGCTACTCCCCTCAGCAGTGTACTGCATCAATCTGCCTGTTCTGCTCCTCACTCTGTCTCTGGTGAAGCTTCTTGCCACCCCTGAGCCTCTGGCCTGTACCCCAGTTCTGTATGTACAAATAAATAAATCTTAAAAAAAATAGCATATTAATTTAAATGTATTAAATTTATAGTCACAAATGCAAATTTTAACACCAACTTCATGTCTTAGAGATCTATCTTTCACGTACCTTATGCTATTCACAATCAACTGACTAAGCTAAAGCTAAAATTCACATACCTGTTATTTCTAACACTTTGGGAAAAAACAGTGTCCAGAACCGGCATTGTTGAGCACGTAATTTTGTGAGTACTCCTGGTGATTCTGCATTCAGGGTTAAATATTTTTGATCACTGCTTTTGAAGATGGGCCATCTTGAGTTGTTGCTCTGGGGTCCATCTGGATTTCTAATAAAGAAACAACAAACAGGTAAATAAATGCATACACTTCTGCTGTGATCTTTGTTTAATTAGTAGTATAGGAAAATCCATTAATAAGATATTTTAAAAATCAAATAAATTATGGATATTTTTGATAACGTCAAACCTAATTTTCCAGTAGTAGAAATTTTAGCTGTTGGTTAAAATTAGAGGAATTAAATTTTAAATAAAAAATGTTTTTCTCTTTAACATACAGAAAAGGAGAAAAAATAATTTATTTTTCAATAATGCTAATGTTCTCTTTAACTTAAACATGCTCAATGGAGCGGGTATTAGTTCATTTTCTTCCATTATCCCAGACTGAACATTTAATAAAAAACATTGTTCAACATCTCTTGAATCAATGTAATTATATATGTGTGTGTGTGTGTGTGTGTATTTACATTAATGCCTGAGTTTGGAACTGGCTACACACCTATTTATGAGAATTTTCTCACTGACCTAGGAAACAACTTTCAATCTCACTTTAAGTTGCTCTTATATTTTTCAATATCTGTATACTGTTTAAAACTGAATCAGTAGATTCAGGTAAAACTGAATGAGCATGGTTTCACCCAGCCGCTGTGTCTATTTTAAGATACATTTTATGAGCCAACATACAAAAAAAAAAAAAAATTCCTTAGTCATTGCATATTCCTGCCTTGGACTTAGCTACTAATTCTGCTTAAAAATCCTTCATCCCCCAAAGTCACTGGTCTAAGTTAATTCATAATCTTTACATTCTCTTTTTTTTAAGTGATATTTTTCATAATTTTCAATGTAATTTTTAGGACAATAAAACTTCTATTTTATAAGCTATAATGTTGAACTCATTTATACCTTTGCAATACTCAAAAATATAATACTGTATATTTTAATCCAATATAAATTCAGTAAGTAAATATTTTTAAATAGTTACAAGTAATTGGTTACTAGAAACATTCTTTTAACAGATTTTTGTTTTATTACAAGTTAGAGTTACTATAGGTCTAGAAAACAAATAAATGTGGAAAACATGGTTTCATTCTGGGAATTTACAAGCAGGACATCCATAAAAACAAAGGATTGATACTTATATGTATGGGTGTCCTTGTTTGTAAAGTAAAGGCAAATAACAAACTGAAGAGAAAAGGGGAAAGCCTAATAAAAGCAACCAAAAATTAACATAGAAATAAATAATGAGTATTGAACTTATTACATAAAATGACAATAAAAAAAAACTAGTTGTCTAGTGTTCTAGAATAGATAAAATCCTGTTAGAATTATAGCTTAAGATATAAGAATGAGCACATTAAGATCTGATTTAAAATTTAGAATGTAGGTATTTACTATTCTTTAGGGATATCTGACAAAAGGTTTTATTGTGAATATAATATTTTAGAAATATTGACCTAGATATGGTATTTAGAACAATCAATAATTCAACAAAATACTCATAAGTACTTCAATCATAAATGGAAGAATAAGGCATGAGGTAAAGTAACTCATCCCTTTCTCTTAGATTAATTATTCCTTAAGAATAAACCATAGGAGAAATACTCAAGTTGAGATATTGTGAAACTTTACAAGCAAAATTTTTCATTATTTGGGTAGTTTCTACCAAATTGACATGAACTCAATGTCAGCATATACAAGATTATTTTAGATTTACCAAAATTTGTGGGCCTAGTAGAATTTGAAAAAACAAGCAAGCATTCACGTGAACTGGTTATGGGAGCATAGTTGTAATCAAGAACTCATATTCAATAAGCAACAGAAATTCATATTTTATGCTAAAGCAGACATATTTAACCAGGAATTTAGTCACAAATACCTTTCTGAACATCTAGTTTATTTTGTTCCAAAACTGATTAATAAGAATTATTACTAGCCAGAGTTATTCAACCCATATCATAGCAGGAATGAAACTTCCTGCTTTAGAATGTTATTTGAGAGAGGTCATGAAGGAAATTTCTCCAGATAACAGATGGCACCCTTGTCTAGGTGAATTATGTAGTTTTTTTCCCTTTCTTTTAAAGCATTAGCAAGTAACGAGAGCAGCTGCCAGAGGCTGGGTATTAAACCAGGAGAACCATTGGTCTGATTCGGTACAACAATTCTTATGTTACTAAATTGCCCACTTTCCTTCCAATTCCACTCTAATTAGCTTATGGCACCATTTTAACTGCACATTCATTTCTGGCTTCTATAAACGGTGACTTAAACAGAGCTGACTTGTACTTGAGTTCAAGAATAAGGCATTAATGGCAGTGCCAGTGTTCATTGCACAAGTTTTGTGCTATGAAATAACTCATGACATCCAAATTGTAATTCAGATATAAAATTCCTTTGCCTATGGAAGCAGATATAGTTTTTAAAAAGTGATTGAAACAGTTATTGAAGAGATGGAGAATTTTATACTATAATTTGAAGAAATCTCCAAATAATTCAAAACTTAACAGGACACATAGCATTTCCTATATGTATCATTTATGAACATTGTGACATATAACAATTTTTCTATATAAATAATCCAAAACACTACTTAATTTTAATATTTAAAGTATAATAAAGTAGACATCTTGACATTACCATTTTCAAAAATATTTTCTATGTCACAGCATATAGAATACAAACTAATAACAACAAAACTATTTCTGTGAAATAGGTAAATCCTTCATGCAATTTTACTGTTAAATCAATTTCTAATTTTGGTAAAAAGAAGTTATTAACATTTAAAAATATTCATTGTATTTCTTTACATGTACAAGAACTGGGGTGTAGGCCAGACTTACAGAGGGTTAGAGGAATCATCAGAAACAGAGTAGGGCGCAGAACAAGCTAATCTACTGAAATACCTTGTTGAGGGTTGAAACAGGCAAGATATGAGAGGTCAATTATGCCACATGGGTCAGCTTGCTGGCAGGTGTTCAAACAATTTTGCAGTATTTGGCCATTGCTTGATGGGGCTGAAATTTTAACTTTTGTGCCACCAGGGAGGCCCCAGAAGTTACCTTATGGTGATCATCCATTTTTAACTCAACATAGATTTGAAGAGTTTAAGAAAGAACTTGATTAGGCAAACATTTAAAAAAAAAAACGATAATTTTTCTAATATCTATACTATGGCAATTTTTTTTTGTAATTGACATTTTGCACATGTTGGATACCTCACTTTATGAGAAAATTGCTTTATAAAGATATTAATCAATACAGGACATCTAATATGAAGAAGTAGTGTATATTCAGCTTCATGCACAGTTTTGTTCTGGTTTTTCATCACAATTTTGCCTGCTTTATTTTAACACAAATATCAACATTCTGTCTGGGTAAGGGTTCATAAACAATTATTTCTAATTAAGCTTTCCAGTAATTTTGCAGTGAATATATTTCAAAATCTAATAAAATAATGACACAAATAATATTTGAAAATTAAAAGGCTACTAGAAATCTTCCACTATCATAAAAATAGTAATAAGGTATAGTTTATATTGAATGATTTTTAAGCATGCAAATATACATGAATTCTAATTCCTCATTGTCATATTTAATTAAAATTATATTTTAGTTAAAACAAAAATGATGTTATAAGAGAATCTGCATGTATAGAACAAATGTGTTCATTCAACCTAAATGTTGAATGTATATTATAGAAGCTTATTTTGGTCATAGAATGTAAACACCAAAATAAATATCCCTAACTCTTGTTTTATTCCATAAGAAATTTAGGCAGTAAACAAGGCAATAAGGGAAATACATGATGAGGTATATCTCTAACTGATAGAGATAATAAAATGGTGAACACATATAATAAAATGCTTAATAAATGTGTGTAGGCAGTGGTGAGGGTATATTGACTAGAATTTTGAATCAAACCTGGTAGTTTGTGTTAACAAGGTCACTGATGATGACTTCTGTCCATGACATGACTGAAAAAGGGCTACTTACACTGATATTCTTAAGGTAGAGAACAGATAACCAGAAGTACCAATCATGTAATTACACTGTCAGGACTTTGTGTCAGATAATATCAATCTGGACTCCAGGAACTTGAGGTGGGTTGGGTCTGATGATTGAATTTAACCAGATGACCAATTATTACATCAATTACATATGTATAATGAAACTCTAATATAAATTCCAGACCTCAGGTTCAGGAGAGATTCCATGATAGGCAATACACCTTCAATATATTGTCACAATGGGTGGCTGAAGGCAACGCATCTGTGAGAACAACAACTCTGTCTGGAACCCTATCAGCTCCCAAATAAGAGATATATATCTTCCTTTGGATCATTTTCTTATATACATATACACATAAACATACACACATTTACTATATTAAGGTACTAATTTTAATTGTAATACTTTCCTAAGTGCTATGAATTGTTCTAGTGAATTATTGAACTCAATTTAAAATGTGAGATGCATATGTTTAAATAACCTTAGGTAAATTTCAGCCAATTGAGTAAAAGTAAAAAGATAATTCAATGGAGTCATGACTAGTAATGCTAGAACAAATTAAACCATTTGAGCTGTTTCTATTATTTTGGCATATTTATATAAAAACAGACAAAAACATTTTCACATCATAAATAACTGCAATGTTTAAGCATATGCTAATCTTCATAAATTCATAACAAACTGTTATACAATGATATGGAGACACAAGTGAAATGTGTAAAGAAGAACTTATAAATAAAATTTTGTTTTTTGAACCTGTCTGGCAACACAAAGGGTTAAAGCTCAGCACTATGAAGCTATCTGTAGTCTACAGCCACTGCAGCAAAAATTCAATCCCAGGCCAGGAAGATGACCCACATGGTATGGCATCTCTCCTGTCTCACCAGCTGCTCTCTTCAACAGTATATTTCAGTCAATCTGCCTGTTCTTCTCCCCACTTTATGTCTTTTGAATCCTCTCATCCCCCACACCTCTGGTCTGTACCCCAGTTCATGTATATAAAATAAATGAATCTTTTTAAAAAATAAAGTTTTGTTTTTCCAAAG